TATTCTCTAGCAATACATGAGGAGCTGAGGTTAATATCAGAGTATTTGGAGGTGGTAGGGTGTAAAAAAAAAATAGTAATATTTTGGTCAGGTAACCACCCACCACGAGCAACCTGAAATCTGTTATTTGTAACTACCATCGGTAAGTGAGAAAATATTCTGAAGAAGATCGAAACCACGATGACAACATAGTACTCATCATTGAGTAAAAATATAATGTCCAAGGTTGACAAAACCATCATTGTTAGCACACACTCTTATCTTGTCCTACCAAACTTGGCTTGAAAGTATTTTGTGTCTTGTCATTAAGGTGATGCAAAACGCACTCCATTAAGCAACCCATGATTTCTTTAAATTTGACCGTCAACATTTTATCTTTTTTTTTTTAAATAATATTATATATATAATGATCTATGCGACTGTGATGAGAGGGCGCTGAAAGTCAAGATTCAAGCAAGCAAGCAGGCACCTAGATCCCCGATGGAGGAGAGACACCACCAATATTATCATTAATTATCTCTCAACTCTTTTAATCCAGTGATTTGGGATTAAATTTATTTAAACTGCTATATATTGGTTCCAATTTATTTGCCTAACCGGCCCCTTTTCTTTCTCTAAATCCTCTACCATCCCATTGAAGTTCAAGTTCAAACTAGCATTCTAACATGGCATGTGTGGTCCTTCTCCTTTTTTTCACTATGGACACCGCAATTAATAAGTTTGTATTTGGAAGGTGGTGTGGAGTATTTTTAAAAGTATTTTTTAATAGAAATTGCATTAAGATTATATTTTTAAGATTTTTTTTAATATCAATGTATTTAAACTATTAAAAATATAAAAATTTAATATTTTTTAAAATAATTTAAAAACACTTTAAACAAGGGGTCGAATATTTGGATCACGAAACTACAATTTCTCTTTTAAAAAATATTTAAAATAATATCATTCTAATAAAAAATCAATTTTTTTATCAAATCAATAAACCATCAAGTTAATTAACATTGATGGAGGCTTTTCAAATCAAAATTAAATTTCTTGCTAATCTGTACCCTGCATATATGATAACAAACTCCCTCAGATTAAATATCATAAAAAAAAAAAAATTCGAATCATTTGCGGTCTTACAATAATAATATGCAAGATCCTTGGGAACTGCTTAAGATTTAAAATCATGAAATACCCTTCAAGTGGTAACAACCAGTGGAGAATTTAACTAATCATCTCAATTAAGGTATTTATAACTAGGATCAAAGCACCGGACTTGGTGTAGCGGTGACAGGAGTTTCGCTCCTTCCGCTGTCATGGATTTGAGTCCTGGAGTTGCACGCCTGTCAGTCTCGCGCTACCTTACCTGCTTGCTGTTTTTGCAGGGTATTCAGTGGGCCATGAGGATTTTCGAATCATTTGCAGTCTTACAATAATAATATGCAAGGTCCTTGGGAACTGCTTAAGATTTAAAATCATGAAAACCCCTACAAGTGGTAACAACCAGTGGAGAATTTAACTAATCATCTCAATTAAGGTATTCATAACTAGGATCAAAGCACTCTAAATAAACTAATTAACACTATTCAATTTGTTTATTTTTTCTCCAGGCATGTGTATTCTCTAGCAATACATGAGGAGCTGAGGTTAATATAAGAGTATTTGGAGGTGGTAGGGTGTAAAAAAAAAAATAGTAATATTTTGGTCAGGTAACCACCCACCACGAGCAACCTGAAATCTGTTATTTGTAACTACCATCGGTAAGTGAGAAAATATTCTGAAGAAGATTGAAACCACGATGACAACATAGTACTCATCATTAAGTAAAAATATAATGTCCAAGGTTGACAAAACCATCATTGTTAGCACACACTCTTATCTTGTCCTACCAAACTTGGCTTGAAAGTATTTTGTGTCTTGTCATTAAGGTGATGCAAAACGCACTCCATTAAGCAACCCATGATTTCTTTAAATTTGACCGTCAACATTTTATCTTTTTGTTTAAAAAATAATATTATATATATAATGATCTATGCGGCTGTGATGAGAGGGCGCTGAAAGTCAAGATTCAAGCAAGCAAGCAGGCACCTAGATCCCCGATGGAGGAGAGACACCACCAATATTATCATTAATTATCTCTCAACTCTTTTAATCCAGTGATCTGGGATTAAATTTATTTAAACTGCTATATATTGGTTCCAATTTATTTGCCTAACCGGCCCCTTTTCTTTCTCTAAATCCTCAACCATCCCATTGAAGTTCAAGTTCAAACTAGCATTCTAACATGGCATGTGTGGTCCTTCTCCTTTTTTTCACTATGGACACCGCAATTAATAAGTTTGTATTTGGAAGGTGGTGTGGAGTATTTTTAAAAGTATTTTTTAATAGAAATTGCATTAAGATTATATTTTTAAGATTTTTTTTAATATCAATGTATCAAAACTATTTAAAATATTTAAAATATAAAAATTTAATATTTTTTTTTAAATAATTTAAAAACACTTTAAACAAGGGGTTCAACCACATTAATTAGATGGGTGTTTGGTAGTGCAAGATTTATGTTCTTGAAGGTGTTTTTATAAGTATGCTTCACTTAGAAAACGTCTAATTAATGCATTTTCTAGTGCCTTTTCATATATTGACATAGAAAAAAAAATTAAAGAAAAAAATACTTTTTAAAAATACTATGCACTACAGTAACAATCCCACTTAGTTACTCTAATTGTAATTATATCTACACAAAATAGCATAGAGTATAATTGCTTAAGTTGATATAAATGCATACGAGTATTTGGAATGAAAGAATTCTCACTTAATTTGAGATTGATAACCAAAAAAAAATTAAAATATATCAGGATGCTCAATTTGGATACATACACAGGACAAAGGAAATGAGGATTAAATGCAAAAAAAAGAAAAAAAGAAGAAGAAGAAAAAAAAGAAGAAGACCTGTCTATCTTATTTCACATAAATACAAAAAACTTGTGCAGCTAAAGTTATTATATTCATATTTTCTTCCTGAATGTCGTTCATTCTGTTTAATATTTAATTTTTTAAAATAAAAAAATTAAATTTTTATTTATAAGTTTACACATAAAAAAGGTCCACTGAATTTGTGGCTTGAACTTATTTTAGGATTTTAGTAAACCTCGCCTCACAGAAAATTGTGTTCGGATATAGCCGTGGAACGCTTGGGGCATGCATGCATACAAGACCCACAAACATGTTGGTTTTGTAACGGTTGAGGAAGAGGCTGGCCGCAAAAAATGGTTGCCTGTCGCCGCACACTGTCACTACCCGACAACTTTGCCTAACTGGTCGGTCTGTCATCCCCTCCGTTTCCTCCGTCTGCCTTCTCAGCTAGTTACTAATTAGGTCCTCGTCCAAGGATGGCAATAGATGTCTATACACCTCACCTTCTTGTAAAAGATTCTTCTTCCATGTATGTTTTTATTGTGCGGACATGGTTACAACACATGGTTTGGGTCTAATTCAAAAATGGGTTCGGATCACTATATCAATTTATCAGTTTTGAATTAATTATTTTTTTATTAAAATAATATTATTTTTTTAAATTATTATTATCACTAGTAGGTGCGATAAGATTGATTGTGACATGGATCAACCTACAATTCAATTCAAACAAGAAAAAATGAGTTTGGTAAATACAAAACAATGTTTATTTATTCTACATATAATTTCATTCTCTAAACTACTTGTGCTTGATAACTTTAATTTATCTAACTATGGTAATTTTTGCCACTAATCATGAATTTGTTTTGCCACTAAACAATTAGCTCGATGGGAATCCATATCCTCTCAAGCTAAAAAGGTTCTTGGTGAGGTTTCTCGTAAATTAAAAAAATCAAGCATTTCAGGGGGATCAAGTCGGTAGTGGCCTTTCTTATGAAATTTTAGCCGTTCGGACAAACTGATTTTTGTTTGCACAGGGTAATTAATTAGCTAACCTAGCTCGAAGATAAACCATCGATTCACTTTAATTGATCTTTGCATCATTAACCCAGATGATTTGACTCTACATGTCAATCTTAACTCACCATTTGGTCTCTGCAAGGAGGGACAAGTGAAAAGAGGACTCGAAGATAGGTTACCCGGTATCTGCCCTCCCCTCTTGTCCTCATTGGTGGGTGTATGGTCCAAACTAGCGTTTCTTCCAATAATTGTTAATGTCCGTTTATAAGGGCACTTTTGTAGGTTATGTGTAGATAATTTTTATAAATTTTAATTTTAAATTTAATTTATATGAAAAGTTGGATTAAAATATTTTTTATTAATTTTATTACCTTGATATTTGGTGATTAAAAATTCCAGCACCATCTATAATTACAAAACTTGATTTGACTAGATAAATTTACGTAATAAACCTTAACTTAACTTAGTTGTATTTTATATTGAGCTAGATTTTTTTAATAATAATAAAATTATTTTGATTTTTAAAAATAAAAACTTCATCGTTTTAACAAAATAAAAGGTTGACTCTATATTTAATGAGTCCAGATTTAAATTGGATTTTATAATTATATCACCTTCCCTTCTCTTAAAAGGTGAATTTCATAGAAAAACAATAAAAAAATTATTCATCGGACCGAGTTTGAAAACGTATGTATTGGCAAATAATGGGACAAAAATACAATCATTCATCACTCCCCACATAATTCCCCATATTTCTTTCCTATCCTCTAGAAAAAAAAAAAACCAATCACAAACAAGAGTAAAAAAAAAAAAAAGTGGCTAATAATAAATCTTATTTTATTCCAAGAACGAGGACTATTTAGCAAAACTAGACAATCACTTGTCTATTAATGATCCAGTTACTTAAAATAACCGCACCAGAACCGCCCTATTTTCCTTTACTAAAAAGAAAGAAATAACAGTATATTTTATTCTATATCTGTCTATCAGTTACTAAAAATAACCGTATCTCTCTCCTACTCGTATAATTATACGTACTCCATACCCCACTCTCTCTTATAGACAGACAGCGAGTGACCTGGAAATAAAATGGATTTGAAAGCCTCCGTTTTTTAAATAGCCTTTTAGAGCCTTACAAAACAGAAAAAAACAATAATATAATTTTCATTTTATTTAGAGAATAATCCGAGGAGAGATCGATCTTACTGTTTCCGGTCGGATCCCCCGGTTCACGTAGCCCGGTCTTGTTGTCTCAGATCCTTCGTGGCCTTTGATAAATCTGTTAATACTGTTTTGTAGTGGCTTGATTGATGGAGTTTTGATTTTTTTGCTCGCATCTCGAGGTAAGGGAGTTGTTGAAGTTTTGCTGTTTCTGTTTGGTTGCTGAGAAAACTTTTTCAGCTTCTTTCTCTCATTGTGGAGTTAGATTTGAGTAGTTAGTGAACTTGTTGGGTACTGAACGGAGTGTTGATTTTTGCTGTTAGGATTTTTTTTTTTTTGCTGTGAGCAGATCAGTGTTGAAGGAGCGATATGACACTTGGAAATGTAGAGATTCTTTTGATTAGCTACGAAATATTCGTTTGGAAGATTTTGTACTGATTTGATTTTTTTTTTTTAGGATTAGAGATTCATTTAGCGGAATCTGTTTTTGTACAGGTTTTGCTTGGTTTCCAGAAAGTGGAGGGAAAAAATGGTAGAAATTAATCCAATTATGAATTGAATTGATTAGGTTTTTGTTTTTTGTTCACCTAGTCACTGTAAATTTGGTGACGAACCGAAGAAGTCTCGCGGTTTGTCAGGCATTTTGTGTACTATTAATGAAAATTGTGTGTTAAGTGAGTGCCTTTTATGGTTTTGGAGTATAACGTAATGGGTGCAGGGCGTGGTTATGTTTTGGAGAACGAAGAAGTATGAATATGGGGACTGGTGTGCATAATTAGGAACTGAGTTGAAATGTTTTCAATGTTAAATAGCATTAGTTTCTAAATATAACTCCATTATCATATGAAAATAGAGAATTGGTTTTGGCGGTTTGAATCTCACTGCCAAGTGTATGGTTTCATGTTTCGTCAAATCATTGTTAGTTGCAAATCTTACATTTGTTCTGTTTATTTATTCTTATTTGCAGAGTGATGGATTCTGATAATCATCTTTTGCCTGATGGTGGGCTTGAGGCTGCCCATCAAAATGGTGGTCATCAGCAAAGTCCAGCTGCTGGAGAAGATGGTGTTGTTTCAAATAATTTAAATGGGAGTGTGGGGAACACTTTTAAGCTTGAGGATGGCACTACTGATAATTTATCTACCGGGGAAGTAGAGGATGAATTAAAGGCATACGTGGGAAGCAATGGATTGCCTGTTTTTAAGGTAAGGAGATGTTCCAGTGTGTGCATTTAGTTCAATGAGTAAAACTAAGCCTGATTTTAAACTTGATGTTTCTATCGTAAAGGAAGGAGAAGTAAAAGTGAAAGATGCTGATAATTCAGAAAATTCTAAATCTCAGAAAGGTCCGGGAAAGAGGGGTACTGCAAAGCCCTCACACCTGAAAAATGCCTCAGCCACTCAGGTGAAGAAAGGTAAGGATGGAAGAGATGCTGAGGTGAAACTCGCTGTTTCAAATGGTTCTGTTGCTGTAAACTCACAATTAAAACAGCATTTGAAAAGTAAAGCTTTCAACGAGAGGCAGGGTCAATCATCCAAGGTAGAAATTGACATTGCTTTTTGCTTTTGTTCCAACGACCACCTTTGCATTTGCTTATCATTTTTCTGCTCGTATTCTTCCAACAGCAATCTGGGAAGTCTGATGCAGCACCACCTGAAGGCATTGTGTATGTATTGCTTGCATTGTTTGTGTGTTGCCTTTTCTTTTTTCTTAATGTCATGGAGCTGCATGCCTTTGTTAATTTCACCTCTTCTGTGTAGTGGACTTACTGGTTAATTTGTTAAACTTGATCCAGAATGTCTGATTATTTGAAGTAGCTGTTAGAATTTTTAATTCACATTGTATTTACTATTGCTTTGTCCTCTCGCCATTTGTTAATGGTGGTTTTGCTTTATACAGGGAGAAGACGAAACTGAAACCTTTGAAAAAAGGGCCTGTTGATAAAGCTGAAGCAGATACAGACTCTACTTCGTATCCTTTTTTCTTTGAATGTGTTATCGTTTCTTATTCTATGAGCAGGGGGCAATCTTCAGCTTATTACTATTTTACCTTTTTCTGTGGCATACATAAGGTTTTTCCTTAATTGCACTGTAGAAGTCCCACTGTGGAAGATGCCAAACCTCGCAAGGTGGGTGCACTTCCAAATTATGGTTTCAGCTTTAAGTGTGATGAACGAGCTGAGAAAAGGAAGGAGGTTAGTTCCGTGCTCAAAGCTTCTTGATTCTCCATGTAAACTCCCTAGCAGTAATTATGGTGTTGGTGTAATATCTATAATGCTATGCTGTTCAGTTCTATTCAAAGCTCGAGGAAAAGATTCATGCTAAGGAAGTGGAAAAGACTACTTTGCAAGCTAAGTCCAAGGTATGGAAATGTAATGATTTCTATGGGCTTTGATTTCTGTTTGAATTCGTTTCTTGTCCTGGCAATCATTTGATTCTCTCACAGGAAACCCAAGAAGCCGAGATTAAGTTGCTTAGGAAGAGTTTGGGTTTTAAAGCAACACCTATGCCCAGCTTTTATCAGGAGCCTGCACCACCTAAGGTGGAGCTAAAGAAGGTAAAATTGTATTTTTTTATCACTAAAGTCATGCTTGTTGTCTCTTGCACTCTTGCTTTCATAGAAGACTTGTTGCCCCCCCACCCCTACACACTCAAAAAAAAGAAAAAAGAAAAATGAGTGGCGCATTTGCTGCCTGTCTAGCTGCTGAACCATTATGTTTTTAGGAATGCAAAATAGATTAGATTATGTTATGTTATTCATAGCTTTCGGAACATTTCTTGAATAAATTTCTGCACTCAACCAATCCCTCCATTGCATCCAGTTGTCAATATTGGGTTATGTTGTTTTTTGTTGTTCTGTTCTCAGTGCTTCATCTATCTTGGATTCATTTATTTGGCATTTTTATACCAAGTTACTGTCCCTGACCATAATTTTCATATCACGTGCTTTTGTCTTTGCATGTTGTGTTACATCCATCTAATAACATGATTATTTTGCTGTGATTAGCATCTTTGCTCAGTGAGATTCATCCCTTTCACTGCCTATGCTTGTATCATGAGACCTTTTGCTGCGGTGAATGATAGTATTAGTGTTGTACCAATGATTCATTGCTCACTTCTGATTACCTGCACTCTGCAGGTTTTTACCATGCCAGTTGTTCAAATTTGGCAACAAACCTTACCTTATGAAATAAACTACTATGGTCCTTTTCCATTTAGATACACCAATGATGACACTAAAAGCTACATCATGACAATCTTTAATGTTCTTTTGTACCAAAACTTTCAGTTAGGATGTTATACGTGGAAAAGTTTTTGGAGAAACCCTCTAATGCTACCAAGATCCCTTGATTAACATGTGACTATTATCAACCCAATTAATTCTACAGGCATGGCTTTGTGCTTATGAGTCCTGTTGAAGTTTGCCTTTGTGTTTTGCAATGGGTGCACTGCCATGGGATTTGGATGATCTGATCCTATTTGACAATTTGTCTTTGTGGCTGCATTGATCTCTTGGTTAACTTGTTCTTGATGTATCTGGCAGGACTGTTCATCAATTGAAATTATGTTGGTCTTGATGTTGTTACTTTGATGCAGATACCCACAACAAGAGCCAAATCTCCCAAGCTAGGTAGAAGGAAGAGCTCATCCCCTGCAGATACTGAAGGAAACAATAGCCAGAGCTATCGACCAGGTCGGCTAAGTTTGGATGAGAAAGTATCTTCAAACATTCCCATCAAAGGACTTTCCCCCGCCCATCCAAAGAAGCCACTGAGGAAGTCCCTTCCCAAACTGCCTTCTGAAAAGACCAAGTTATCCATTGCAAATGACGAAAAAACTAGATTGCCTAAAGCATCAAATGAGGAAAATCCCACCTTATCTAATCAATCAAATGAGGGTTCATCTCCCACCCAAGAGCAGGAAGCTGTTTCAAAGAATGAGGAGAGTGAATTTCTCCCTGGAAAAGATGAGACAGCGGTTAAAGAGGAAGCTCAGGCCACGTTGGCGAAAGATCCAGTAGCATTGGTGGTTTGACCTCAAAAACAAAACAAGAATTGAACGGTGTATGCAAAGGCCTCAAATCCATGTGCGTAAATAAAAAGGTGAAAGACCTGAATTAATTGGACAATGAAGGCGTAAAGGATTTTGCATTTTGCATGATAGATTGTGATGGCTGTATCTGTCCTTAGTCAACAGAATTGATTGTTTTGTGTGCATGATTTCAGGTTGCTGGTCTTTTCACTAGGGCTCTACATTCTTGCAGTAATGTATGTTATCACTTGCAAAAGTTATTCTAATTTACATGTTATTTCTTATTTGCCTGCTGTATTGAAAATATTTAGTAAAATTTTGGAGAAGTCTGCTGTTAGATAGGCCATGCCATTCTGTAAACCTGTTATATTTGGACAATTGGATATTGTTGGTTAAGGTGACTTTGGTGGCGTGAACTGCGAATCCTGTCTCTTGAGTTGTGGTTTTTTTTTTACTACCGATCTCTCATATTCCATTGTAAACTAGGTACTTTGGTGGTGTGAACTGCGAATCCTTTGTCTCTTGAGTTGTGGTTTTTTTTTTTACTTCCGATCTCTCATATTCCATTGTAAACTAGGCATTGTATTGGGAGAGATAAGATAGAGGTAATTTTTTAAAATAGTCTGTAATTCTATGATATAATCTTTATTTGTATTCTGCTCCCTAATTTATTGCTGAACAAAAATCCTCTTTGTGGGGTGATAAATTAATGGGCATAAGAGGGCGTCTCCTGCGTGCTACCAATATATTACAATCTCATTTACCATTCGTACGTACATTTTGAATCTCACAAGCCAGCTTTGATCTCAATTCTCTGCCCATGAGAAATGAAATGAGTTCGAAGGAAGAGTTCATCCCCTGCATTCTGCAGGCTCCGAATGAGAAGTACATCTCACCGGCAATAATCCAGAAGGAAGTGCCTACCTAAACTGCCATTGGGCCAATTTAACCAGAACTCAGAATGGACAGACCTGGTTGAACGTACTGGGTTTTTAGTGATTGGAGACCTGGTCTCAACCAGGTTAGGTTAAAAAAACAACTATTTTAATCAAAATAGCTGGCCTAGTAACTCATGTATCAATCTAACACCCTTTTTCGGATCATTTCGGTTGTGACAGCTATGGGAAAGAATTCATTTCCTGGAGCAATAAATGAGGAAAATGCCACTGTATTAAAATAAATAAAGGCACGTCTCCTACCCAAGAGCAGGAAGCGGTTCAAAAAGATAGCAAGTAGCGATTGGAGAGGAAGCTCAAGCTACCTTGTTGGTTTGAGCACAAAAACAGTGAAAGATTCTGCATGATGAGTTCTGATTTTTAGTTAATCTTGTCCAGAGTTAGCAGCACTGGATGTTGTCGTTTGCAAAGATATTCTAATTCACATGTTATTTGCTTGCTGTGTTCGACATATTTTGCAAAAATATGGAGAAGTCTCCTGTTATTAGATAGGCCAACTCATCAGAATTGCCCTTTGTTTTCACGTCCCCTTTTTGTCTTCTGTGCCTCAAATTTAACCATTTTGGCAATAAAACTCAGAAGACAGCCAAGGAGAAGAAGAGAGCACGTGAGTCCTATATTGGACATTAAAGCCCACATAGGAAGTTAAGAATATCTTGAGCAAGACGAGGAAGGCCGAAAGATACTAAAAGCACAGAAATATTTTAACAAGAAGACGAGGTTAGCAACATAAATCCACGAATAACACGACAAGAATAGTACCAAAAGAAACTCTTATCCCTTTCTTTCATTGATGATTGAACATGGTATATTATTGATTCTATCTTCTGCTAGATACTTCCAGTAACTTCAACCATAGAGCAACATCATCATCATCCATCTCGACTTGGCATCAGAAATATCTCTGTTTGGTTCCATGTGCAAAAGTGAAGGTATAAGAAGAAGATTTACACCAACGACAGGTTGTATCAGCGTTAAGAAGCAGCAGCCAAAGGAGGGAATCCTTGAGGAAGATTATATATCTGTTTATAAGTTGGCAAACTATCACATTGAACTTCATTCTGCCTGGTCTCTTCTTCTTCATCACCATCTTCTTCACCAGCATCCCAGAGAAAGTGAGCATAAGAAGCAAGCACATAACTGCATCAACAAAAATATGTAACATCAAACTTGATTAGCTAAACAGAATATATCACCTAACCATCTCTAAATAAGTCAAACATGTTTATATTTTTCTTTACCAGTCATCGGGAGAGGACTTGACAGCTTGATCAAAGTAAGCCTGAGCACGATTACTGTCCTTGTGGTTATTCCATATTAGATCTCCGTACATTGACAAAACATTCCCATCATCTCTTCCATTTGCCAGAATTGCTTTCTCACAGAACTCCTCTGCCTTCACAACATCACCTCGTACCTAAAAACACATCTCTTATGATTCATAGCAACATCCCATTTTTCTTAAAAGGAAATCAAGAAACAACAAATACGAACACAGGCACATATTGTTTTACGCTTACCTCTTTCAAGAATTTAGCGTAGTTTGCAAGAAGAAGAGCATCACCAGGATAGGCCTTGATCATGTTCTGGTAGTAAAGATTCATGCTCTCGTGATCACTTTCATAAGGCTGATGACCTGAGTCCCAGCTCCCACCACCGCCACCGCCACAAATACCACCAACACCAACACCACCACCGCCACCACCACAGACCATCTCCTCCTCCTCGACTGTTTCTGTGCAAACGCTCATTTCTTCTTTTTCCTTGAGGACTGGTGACATGAAAGAACGTTTAGAGAACATTCTCTCTCTGGTCAAGTAGGGTGGCTTAATCTCAGTCTCTGATGCTGTTCTTTGAAGGCACATGGACACTGGCCGGCTTGTTGAGGACTGGCAGACAAGTGTCCTTAAAACCGGTGTAGAAGTACTTCTAAGAAGCATTTTTTTCCTCTCGTTTCTGTTGAAACCCAAAATGCTGTCTCAAAGATGGACAAAAAAGAAGGAAAAGAAGGCAGCATATATATATATATATATATAGATGGATGGGAGGAGAGGATTTTTAGCTTTTTGACTGAGAGCATGTGGTAATTAAACCCATGCTAATTACTGGAGGTAGAGAAGGTAAAGGCACAGAGGTAGCTAGCTAGGGACGTGAATATGACGAGTCTTCGAGGAGTTACGTCAAGCTGACCTAGGAGTTTTGGTTTTGTTTTTCGGCCACGAGGTTGCCTATTTCTTGTGCTCTCGTCATTGGAGGGCACTAGCTAGGGAGGTAGCTGATGATATTTTGGTTCAATAATACTTAGTTTATCTTCTAATATGGATTAGAGTTTTGAATTCAATTTTCCTCTTGATGTTTGCTAGCAGCTTGGTGGAGCTAGCTCGACTACAAACTTGTTTTTAGCACATGGTTTTTATTTTTCCTGATGAAGTTGCGATGGTATCCGTGATTTTCTTATCAAATCTCACATCCATATGGTGCAAATCATGTAAGTTTTTTTTCTTTCTTCTTATTTGGTGAGTGTTTGTATATTTTTTTTAATAAATTTTATATTAACATATCAAAATATCAAAAAAATATTAAATTAATACTTCTTTCAATAAAATATATTCTTAGAACACTTCTAAAAACAAAAACACTGCATTTCCAATCAATCATACGCAGGAAAAAGTTAAAACTCAATCACTAGACGTGTTGGCTGCTGGGTTTTGCTTTTTGCTGCGACTTTAACAATTGAAAAATGAATAAAATGACAAGTTGTTCCTTTTCTTTTTCCTTGATGAACAACTGGATATGGGGATAAGCCAAGTGAAAGCTACTACCATGGCCAAAACCCCTGCCTGAAAAGGAACAGAACCTGTCGACATCAGCCCATCAAGATATAATTATCCTTCTTGGACCCACTGTAAGCAAGCACACCATGCTTGCTCACAGCAACTTCTTGCAACTGTTGTGGCCGAAATCCAGCATATATGGTCTGAACTTTAATTCCATTATTTCGATGTGCACTCAAGATAGAAGATATAATGGTGTGAAATGAGACTTTGGTTCATCTTTTTGCTGGCCTTTCGTCTTCTTTTTCTGCATAAAAAAAAAAAATCATCATTCTTTATTCATTATCTCACTATTAAAAAGAAAACCCGATTGGGATAATTAATGACTTCACTGCACACCTTGATTGCATAATGTGAAAGGAAACAATATAATTACACCCTTACTAAAAAAAACTATTAAGCTAGTTGTTGAGGGCGATATTATAATTTAACAAGGATCAAAAGGTCATTATCATAGTAATCAACAACAATACAGTTTTTTTATTTTTTTTTAACACAGTATAATGATTAGAATACCCTTAAATTCAAAATAAATCTAGTTGATATTCTTTTGCCTTTTCGCTTTTCAATACACAATAAATTAAATCATAAAATTTTTAACTTGCAATCAACGGTTACTTCATCTTTTCATTGTGATTTTTTTTTTTTTGTAATAAATTGGTTTACACAGGTCAAGAGCAATTTAATATTTCAACGAGTTTAAAAATTATTAAAAAATAAAATATAGTTTGTGTGTATATTTACATGGGTTAACATATCAAGCCACTTTACACGCTTCTAACAACAAGTGTAATAGAGAAAATTGGTCATTCATAAAGGTTTTAGAATCCTCACAGCATTCCTTTCATGATGAAATGGTGTATGCGATGCTTGGTACGATGATTGGGATCTGACCATCCTTTTTTCTTTTTTCTTTTTCTTTTTCTCACTTTTCTACTTGAAAAACAAGCTGCCCAATCAAAAAATCTATGCTGTCCTTTTATTTTTTTTAGATTTCAGATTTAGTATTTTGCTTTTGATTGAATGATTTTTATCTTGATTCCTTCTGTAAACTTTAAATTTATTTTTTTCTTTTATTTAAATATTATTTTTCCTTTTGTTTTGTTTTTGTTTCAGATTTAATTCTATTTATTATTTTGATAACTTTTGTAAAATGTATGATTCTATTTTCAATTCCACACTTAAATTAAATAATATTATTTTTTCTCTTGTTTTGTTTTTGTTTGACATCTAGTTTTTTTTTTAGATTGCTAATATTTTTAGTTTTTTATTAAATTTAATTTTTTTAAAAATTTTATTATTCAATTTAATCGAAACTAAGGTCGTGACTTTTTCTAATTGAGTTATACCAGTCTCATAACTCATTTTATATTTATTTAAAATGTTAATCCATGTAATATCAATTTGATCGAAACTAAGGGTCGTGGCTTTTTCTAATTGAGTTATATCAGTCTCATAACTCACTTTACATTTATTTAAAATGTTAATCCATGTAATATTAATATTATATATATATATATATATATTAAAAATTATAATGACCTCATGAATAGGTTGAGGTACTTGCTAGTATACATAGATTAATTTAAATATTTTTTTTTTCTTTCTACACCAATCGATTAGAATGAAATGCACCGTTGTCATTTTTTTCCTTCCAATGACCACTATTTTTTATCATCATGACGCCATTTTTTTTAGTTAGATCCATTTGATCCTTTTGATGTCATTATTTGTTGTTGTCATCTTATCGGGTAAGATAGGTTTATTTGACCCAGCTAGATTTTAACCTGAATTGTAATTTTATTTAAAAAAACTTTTTTGAAATCAACTTGTGCTCTCTTGACATTGTTTTTTGATTATAATAATATATTTTCCCAGCCCGTGTCATAGGACGGGACAGATCATCTAAAAGGTTATGTGAACTTAGTGATTATCAATTGGTGACCACTGCAGATTTTTAGATGGATTTTTTTTAAGGTGTTTTATTTATATTGACTTTCTATAAACAATTAAATTATCTTATTAACTGTATTAAATCACTTTTCTTATCATTCAATAACTTAATTAGTTATCTCATACTTTAATTATTTTCTGATATTATTATAGAATTATGACTCAAAAAATATATTATTACTTTCAAAGGAATGATGTATATTATTTTCCTTGTAACAACTAAGTGATTATGAATTGTTAAACTGAATGAATCATAAGAAAAATATCTTATATTTTTTTAATTTAGTTAATTATTTTTTAATTATGATGGTTACAGCCAATTTAATTATAAATTCAGAGAAAATAGTTTCTGTTATCGTAAAAAAGAAAAGAAAACAAAATATCATTTGAATTGTAAAGAAATTATTTTTAAGTAATTACAAACTAGTAAGTATTTACATGTGTTGCGTCTTAAACCGAAAAACATTAAAATTATAATATTTTGAAATAACTATAGCAAGCATCGATATTTCAATATAAAACATAATAATCAATTAATTAATATTTCTAGAAAATATTAATTATGGCTCTTGAACATGGAAGATAAGTTGAATTTGGAGGTATAACAGTGAATGAATTCTGTTTCTTTTAATTGTGGTTTTTTAGCAACCATTTTATTTGATTTTTCAAACTCCATTATGAACTGCGAGTTTCAAAAGTATGAAGATTTTCTTTTTATGTTATAACTTGTTTTTTAAAGTATCTTTTAATTTTTTTTAAATATATTAAATTGATATTTTTAAATATTTTGGATGATTTGAATACATTATTATTAAAAATAAAAATATTAATATATTTCTAATTAAAAAATATTTTTTAAAAAATATTATATATCATAATACCATATAAATACTTGAGTTTACGACATCCTTCACCTTCACGGAGAAGAGATTAGATTGGATCATAAGGCTTGGGCTTTTTACTTTCGATGATAAAGCTAGTGCCCTTTGGACTTGGGCTTTTATTAACCCAAATAGGCCTTTCATATCTACAAGCCCATTACATGCTTGAGAATATACTTATTCCAAAATTATTATTATATTAAGAAAATAAAATAAAAGTTGAAAATTTACTCATTCAATCTAAGAAAAATATGTTAGGTTATGAATAAAAATACAAAAATCTTGTAAGCGGACAATGTTTATTACATGTTACAAAAACCCATAACCCTTTAAATTATTTTAGCATCTAAAATAAATAGCTTAACACATGCAAATTAAATATCAATAATAAAATCAATAAATTTAATTCAATTAAAAAATAAAATTCCCTTTAAAGATATTAAATTTAACAAAAACTCAAGCCATTCCTTATTATTTAAAAAAAAAAGATAAATCCCATAAAAAAATAAAAAAGAATGTTAGAGGATGAAATCTGAAAAAAAAATATAAAAAATAATCAAGTGAACCTAGTAAACTCGAGTTAAACTCGTAAACCTAAAATCCGTTAAATTCTCAACTCAAGCTCAGTTCAAGAGCTCAATATTTTAAAAAATAAATGTTAAAGAATAAAATCACTTAATTTAATTTATTTTAAAAAAACATTCCTTTTAAAAAACTAAATTTAACAAAAAAAAAAACAAGGTAGCCTATGTTATTTTCAAAAAGACTTAAAAATACAAGAGAAACTGAATTAAAAAATAACAAAATGCAAGCTGATGGAAAAAAATCTTGAAAATAGTAAAAAAACTAAGGAAATCCGCGTCAACTTTGTAAATTAGGTTTAATCTTTTAAATTTATAAACTGTTAAATTTTAAACTCTAACTCAACAAAAAAACTAAACATTCTGGCTAATGAAATATTAGAAGATGAAATAAAAAAAAAATCAATCTAAAAAAATATTACAAGGTCAAAAAAATACAATAATAAAAAAAAGATTAGATTTGACATGAAAAAAAACTAAAAAATAATGAAATTGCAAAAAACAAATTACAAAAACCATCTAAAAATAAAAAAAATAGAAATCAAAAAAATATGAATCAAATATAATAGATAAAAATATCTATTGGGGATGAAATTAAAAAATTATTAATTTAATAAATTATTCTAAATAAAAATTTTCAATAAATAGAACAATGACAAAATTTTAAAAAACCTGAATTTCTTAAATTATTCTAGAATTTAAAAATTATAATAAATAGAATAGAGATAAAATATTAAGTAGACCAAACCTTAGGGGTTGATTTAATTTTTTTAAGGCTAGCATGAAAATTAAGTAGAAAAAAAAAAAACCAAAACCCACATGCGACACCTTGGTCATAATTAGGTTACATGAGCCATTTATTTGCGGAGGGGATACCAAAATGCTTTGGTTGTCACCTTAGACACATGATTTTAGCCACTGAATAATATTGCATGCGTAGTTTGAAAGCAACGAACACAATTCATATATTTTTTATATTTTTAAATTTTTTTATTTATCAAATTACTTTACTATTCCCAATAACTACCAAATCATCACATCTAAATTACAAAAAAAAAAAACGATGTTAAATATTATTATTTTTTAATTTATAGAGACGATAAAGTAACGTACTTCTTTAAAAATTAAGTCAAAGGCTACAAAGCTCCCGAACCAAATTATTTTTTTTTTTAATCTTTCAAGGAAAATTAAGTAATTACACTGTGCATAGAAAATATAAAACTACCATCAAACCCTTCCATTTCTAGTAAAGACCAATATCTCTCATGAAAAACACTCTCCTACCCCTAAGCCCAAGCCTTATTAGTTTGCAGTTTGCCCACCAAGGGGTAAATTAGTATTTTATTGTGCAAATTTATAGTAAAATGTCAATCTCTTTAAGTATAAGGTATAACATAACATGTAGGCATATATTTTCTCTACTTTGTCTTTATCTCTTATATCTCAAGGAATCAACCAAATACCATTTTAATATATATAGCTTTTCTTAAAAAGAAAAGGGAAAAATGGTTGATAAATAATTCATTATGATTATCTTATCTCAATCTTTTTTTCCCCTTCGTGCTCCTTTTAAACAAGAAGCAACATCAATTAAAAGATAATTAACCTTGTTGTTCTCTTAATATATCATTTGAGAAACTAAGTGGTTGTTTGAGAGTCCAATAACTTATATTTTTTATATATTTCAAAGATACATTTTACATGAAAAAATATTAAATTGATATATTTTTTTACTATTTTTTAATAATTTTGATATATTTATGTAAAAAATTAAAAAAATCCAAAAAAAATCTAAATATATTTTATATTTTCAAACAATATATATATATATATATATATATATATATATATATATATATAACAGTACTCCATTTCAATATTATACACCCTTTAATTTGAATGCATGTATAGCAACATGTCCAGCCACATAAACACGGAAACCATCATTAGTTAACACGAGTGAGATTAACTTACAATACCCCCTGCTTTCAGAACCAAGATCGAAGGAAAATCAAAGTGGGCAATATGAACAAGAGGACCGTCTCATGCCATTTTAGATCATCCAAAAGGGCCTCAAATCAAAGCTTTATCCAACTGATATCTTGCTATACAGCCAAAGATTCACATAGCATAATGCCAGGCAACATCAGCTTAAAAGATGATTAACCATTATATTTACATTAACCGTAGGACTAATTTTCCTAGTTTGGGTAGACAGATATCTTGCCAACAAGCTCAGCAATACCTTATCCAACTGAGCAGTCCTATAGCCGAATGCCAAGTCAGCTACCTGTATCTAAGTGTATCCATTTCTAACGTTCTGAAGCCACAAGAGCAATTTGTGGCTATGATCTTTTAGATCCCAAATTGTACTATAAATAAATTTAAAAAAAGAATTATAAAATAAGGGAAGAGAGTGGTTTTCCTGGGTCAATTTTTTTCATTCAAAGAAGCAAAAAATGGCAGCCACTACCATTACGACTGCTACTGCTCTCCCACAATTCAGTGGCCTGAGACCCTCAGCTGCCCCTGTAAAATCCCTGGTTAGTGATATATACTAACAAGAGCTAGGGTAATTAAGGTTATCTTCTCTTGAACATATATAGAGAATATTGATCGAAGTTGAAATTTCTTATACTCCATGCAGGCAGCTGTTCAGCCTACAAGGCGAAAGGGAAATGGAGCCCTGGGTGCTCGTATGGATTTCATCGGTTCACCCACAAATCTGGTAATGATTTTTACTGCTTTATCTATTTGTTATCTTGCAAGAGAATTGAACGTCTTTCTTACAAGGATTAAATAGGGACTGAAACAGTTAATGCTTTCTAAATTGTCAGATAATGGTGACTAGCACAAGCCTCATGCTATTTGCTGGGAGATTTGGGTTAGCCCCATCGGCAAACAGGAAGGCAACTGCAGGATTGAAGCTTGAAGTGAGGGACTCGGGCTTACAAACTGGCGATCCAGCTGGTTTCACTCTTGCTGATACCTTGGCATGTGGGACTGTTGGTCACATAATTGGCGTTGGAGTTGTTCTTGGTCTTAAGAACATTGGTGCATTGTAAAGATCTTTATAAGCATCTTGATTGAAGTACTTTGCTTTTAATTCTGTCTGTGCCGTTTTCCTCCATGTAAATGCTTCTTTGTCTGATATTTTGAGGAACAGCTTGTCGTCAACTATCAAATTTTGTTCAACATCATGTTAAGAGCACATACTAGATGGCTAGAGAGTGAAGACAAGAAAAAAACTGAGAAAAAATGAAGGTGCAAATAGCCTAAAAACTGTTAAAATATAGCTTGTGTATTAGTATATTAGGTAGTTAAATAGGCTATTTTTATACAAATGCCCTGGTGGTTCATATACCGTTTATGAAAATACTTTTGGTATTATCATCAATTTATAATTTATATACAAATCAAATCAAATAATGTTAAGATAACTTTTATGTGAATTAGATGAGCCGGTTTATATAGAATAATTAGAGGGTTTTGCTCTATCCAGAAATAAGTATAAAATCTGTAAATTGATTAAATTTTTATATGAATTGAAAAAATCACTTAATCAATGGCACAATAAAATTAATTCTGTAATTTTAGAATATGGTTTCAAACATATTAGTGCTGATAAATATATTTATTCTAAATTTACATATAATTTTAGTGTAATAATATGTTTTTATATGGATAACATATTTATTGTTAGTGCTAATATGAATGATACAAAGAAATATAAAACCTTAAAATTTAAAATGAAAAAATTAAATGAATTAGATATAATTTTGGGTATCAAAGTAAAAAAATATAGTGGGAGGTTTTATTCTTTGTCAATCTTATTATATTAATAAAGTCTTAAATAAATTTAATCATTTAAATATGAAAGAAGCAAATACTTCTGATGTTTCCTTTAAGTTGACAGAAAATACTAGTAGATTAATTACTTAAATTGAATATACTAGTGCAATTAATAAATTAATGTATATCATACATTGTATTATACCAAATATTATTCTTACAGTATGTAAATTGTCTTGATACATAAGTAATATTAGTAATGATTATTAGAAAGCAACTACAAGAATACTTGGTTACTTGAAAACGATTATGAATTTTGAATTATTTTATAATAATTTTTCAATTATACTTTAAAGTTATAATGATGCTAATTAGATAACTAATACAAGTGATAATAAATCAATCTCTGAATGAATATTTATTTTAGAAAACAATGCTGTTTTTTGGATTTCAAAGAAACAAATATGCATAACTCATTCTATAATATAATCTGAATTTATAATTCTAGTAGTCACATGTAAAGAGATAAAATAATTGAAAAATATATTATTGAATATTAAATTGTTACCATAGCCGCTGTCATTTATCACTTTACACTGTAATAATCAAGTAATTATGTCTAAGATAATTAGTAAAATTTACAACAAAAAATCTAGACATGAGTTTGAGATATGAATATATAAGGTAATTAATTTTTGATGACATAATTATCATTGTGTATACCAGATCATGCAATAATCTAGTAAATCTTTTCACTAAAATTCTCTCAGAAAATTTAGTTAGAAACACTTCTGCTCGTATGGAATTAAAATCATTTAATTAAACTTACCAATAACACAAACCCAACTTTTACTAGTATCTTTACTAGTTAGGAGTTTCACAGGTAATGACAAATTATTAGCAAGACTAGTGTATACTAATTTATATATGAAGTCAAGATTTAAAAAATTAGTATTCTAAATAAATAAGAGGATGAGTGATTAACATTGTTAATGAAATCTCAATGTAAAATATAAATTTTATCTATACAAACATATGAAATGATATTGCTTTAACAAAAGTTTGGAAAACTTTGTAAATATTCATGCATTCAAGAAGTAGCACAAAATCATATTAGTGCTAAAATAATGGTAAATTTATGTTTTAGATTAATTGGATCATGTGTAGTATTTTTAATTTTATTTAATAAAATTCTAATTTTATCCTTTTGCCATCATGATATTATTAGAGTTTTGAAATGCTTACCCTAATGAGATGTTTGAATCTAAAGATATTTTTTATATATATGAAACATGGTGCCAACTAATATTACAAACTAAGCGAAGTATTGTTGTTAAAATATAACTTGTATATTAGGTAATTAAAGAGAATTTAATCCCACGTTGAAAATATAAGAGATTTTTTGTTATATATTATAATGTGAAGGATACCTAATCAATAGATTTTAACATTGAAGGGAAGGTTTGATGGGAAGGCCAACATTATATATATATAAAATCTAATAATTATGCATGACATCTCCTGTCAAGTTATTCAAATAATTTGAATGAAAAAATATCTTTTAAACTTGATTTGAAAAAATATTTTTTTTTATAAGTACTAGTTTGATATTAACAAAAATTAATTAGAAACAATTTTTTTTTCTTCCTGATTTTTCCCTACAAAATCTCTATTTATGTTTATCATAAACAAAACATAACTTTTTAATTCACTTATAGAAGTTATTATTTATAAGTTTAAGGTTTTGTTATATTCTAAATATATATTACTTTAATTTTGCAATAAAAATAAATACAATGGAGACAATAAATACCTTTAAAATAATGATTTTCACGCCTCATATCTTGTTTGTTATAGCCATCAACATTATAAAACCAGGGTCCAATAAGCAATTTAAAAAAAAAATGATATTTAAAGAATACTAAAAGAAGTTTTTATGATTCCTTGTGCTCTTTCTTATAAAACTTGGTAGAGCTACTTGATTATATTTTGGTTTAATTTGGTTTTGAATTGGGTAATAAATTAATCTAGTTAAACTTGAATGATTTGATAAGTCAATCTATTATTTGATTTAATCAAACTTGAGTGAATTTTAATTAAATTAAATTTGATAATTTTTATTTTAATTTAAAATGATATCTTTTTATCTTTTTGTCAAGATTTTTTTCATTTAAAAATAATCAAAATTATATCATGTCATTTTAAATTAAATTCAAAGGCTGACTTATTGATTTCATATTGACCCAACCAAAACACCACCTTGGCATTTGAGCTGGGTTACATCCTAACTTGGATGCTCCTTGGCATTTGAGCTGCGTTACATCCTAAATTGGATGCTATAACTATGGTTTGGACACCATTAAGTGTTATTTCTTGTATAACCACAACTTTAAACATTAAATACAATGTCCAAAATCAATATTTTTCTCATTTTAAACCTAATTAAGTCTCTGAATCTTTCGTTTTTTAATCCATAATTTGTAGTGAATGCATTAATTAAAGCTATAAATATCCCACTTAAGACTTCACTAAAAAGAAATATGATCTTGATACACATAAAGTCTCGAAAACACATCTCAACTGTTGGGAGGGGAAAAAAAAGTCTACACAAACAGGCAAGAACTATCAGATTAGCCCTCATTAAGCAGCCCTTGGAAGTTTCAACTAAATTTGTCAAACTTGGAAGGCCCAGTTCCAAGCTCCTTCTCTCATGTGACAAGATTTGTCAAATCCATGGTGGGATTTGTAAATTGCCCATTTCACAGGGGGACATGAGATATCTTGTTTGTGATGATGAGATCTTTTGAATATAGCACTGCTTAATTTATTTTTAATGGATTTTTGTGATTGATTTGGGAACTCCAATCGTTAACCAAGCACAAAAATGAGATTCCCAAGTCAAAAGTTCAGTAATGAGATGGTGAAAGAAAGCTGGCAAAAAGATGGGTTTCCACTGAAGTTGGATTCTTATGCTAACCACTACAGATTTTTCCATGTCAGCTTCTTGAATTATGCTGCCCTTGCACATCTCGCCATGATCATCTGAGAGATTATGTAGCTAACCACTAGATTTTTCAGATCCATTCTTGATTATGTGACATGCTTCAACATAATCATCAATATAGAACTAAAACTTTTTTTTTGGATAAGGATAACTTGCTTGTCCAAGTGATCAACCACGTTTTAAACTGCAATTGGCACGATGCTTTTTACGGTGAACCGCAGTTTAAGTGCCTGTCTACTCGGTGGGAGGAAAGGTTTCTACTCGCTGAGTGTGAACCTTCCTTTTTCATGTGTACTGTTGAATATATATATATATATATATATATATATATATATATCATATTAGTTATCAGCTTAGGTAGCCATCTTGTCAACAGTTTCAGCTCAAAACTTCCATTTCCTAAAACTTTCCCAGACATTGTACCAAGGACAAAGACAGCTATGAAGCTTCCTATAAAAGTCTAGACGCCAGAGAAGAAAAATAAGTAGCTAATTCAATTCACCTGCTGGATGCATTGAACCCAACTCAGCATGAAGTCACACCTAACAAATCGAAACCATATTTCAAGTCAAGCAACATGTGACCCCACATGAACCACCATGTCTCCCGTAAATTCATGTGTCACAAACAAGCCTTCATCAACTATGGCTTGCTTGACCCCCCAAAGATACCAGAAGCAAAGGATACTGTTTTGAGATAGGATTTTTTGAGAAGGGTTCCACTGTAATTCTTCCTGTTATCATCAGAAGAAAAAATATGATAGATTGATGCAGAAGCTTTTATTTCTAATCATTCCCATTAAGATAAAAACATACATCACAAAAAGGGTGGATATTTATTTCATTACATGATAAAAAAGGTTGCAAGATACAGTTCATGAAGAAATGGAGCCTGTAAAAAACTAGGGCTTGGATAAAAAAGCAACCCCTCTTTCATGAGGGGTTGTCATGGCAGACTGTATAACTTGCTGCCACGGCCAAAACCCTAGACGACGAGGCACCGAAAAGTGAAACTGCCAAAAGCAACCAGAAAGACAGACCAGTAGTGGTAACCCACCCTTCGAGGAAAACAGCGACCCAATCATCACGTTCAGAAACATGATTACAAAAACAAAGGAACTGAAAGCCTGATATGGACAGACTTGACACTGGTACTACACGAAAAAGCTCCAGCCAAACATGGTAGTCATGAGGCTGAACTAAAACACCGAGTGATAACACCCTGAAACATTAAGGGGAAAAAAAAAAAAAAAAACAGAAACCTGGAACCAGAGCTTGGCTACTGTATTCTCAGGGAACGGTGGCCACGAAGAAACTAGCACTTCTAACAGATTCCCAGTGAACGGAAACCTGAGAAAAAAAGAGGGTAAACAGCCACATTCCCGGGAAAAGGGAACCCA